TTAACACCTTACTGGTATATATATATATATATATATATATATATATATATATATATATATATATATATATATATATATATATATATATATATATATATATATACAGTTGAAGTCAGAATTATTAGCCCCCCTGAATTATTAGCCTCCCTATTTATTTTTTTCCCCAATTTCTGTTTAACGGAGAGAAGATTTTTTTTAAACAAATTTCTTGACATAACAGTTTTAATAACTCATCGGGGAAATTTTAAGGAGCTAATAATTTTGACCTTAAAATTACTTTTAAAAAAATAATAACTGCTTTTATTCTAGCCAGATAACACAAATAAGACTTTTCCTGTTAAAAAAAAAATTTGATCAGACATACTGTAAAAAATTCATCAAATCATTTGGCTAATATTTTAAAAACAAAAACAAAAAACAAAAACCAAAGGGGGGCTAATAATTCTGACTTCAAATGTATATCTGTTAAATTTTTTTTTTTTTTTTGCGCATATATATTACCTATATTCTTTGATAAATAGATACATTTTCAAATTGAGGTGTACTCATTTGTGCTGAGCACTGTACTGGTATGCGTGCATCTTATTTAATATTTCCAATCCCACAAAAATGTGTAACTTTTTTAGCAATTTTTTAGGGGGGTTTTCACCTTTGTAATATAGGACAGTACACTGTAAAAATGTAACAATTTAATGCACTTTTTGTGTTGCTTTTATATGTTTTTATAAGTTAATATGGTTTCAACAACATTTTTTTAAGTTATGCAAACTTTAACTTAATATTATATAAAGTATTATATATTATTGATATTATATAACTTAATATCAATAAAGTTTGATTGAAAAAATTTGAAGCAGCAAGTTTTTTTTTTTTTTTTTTTTTTATAGTGTACAGTTGAGACAGGAAAGTGTGGGGAGCAGAATCGGCAAATGACCTCAAGCCAGGAATTGAACCCGGGTCAATTTTAACACCTCAGTGCTATATGTCAGTGGACGTATAACTTTTCGATTTACTGACTGCTTTTAATCTCATTCATACTTTTAGTAAGATTTCCTCATCCCTAATGACAGTTGGGTTCATGGGTGGGGTTTGGGGACATGCCTCCTTTTAAAAATATATATGTTTTCATACAAATTTGATGAATTAGCTTATTTTTTGACAATCTGTAAAATAGTTATGTTTCCTCATGAGGTTGAGCTGAATATTTCCGACTCACTTGCACTCTCCGGGCAGATCACAGGAGCCGTGGTCCAGGTGACACCCCTGCTTACACACCGCTGCAATAAAAAATACACACAGATGATTTATGTTGATTTTTTTCATAACACTCATCAGACAAGCAACTTTGGTTAGGTGCAAAAAAAAAAAAAAAAAAAATTGTGATATGCTTATAGACCATTTCAATGTGGTGGTGTTATTTGCCCATGAACATGTTCTGATTGTCAAATTATTTCATAACTATAACGAGGCAATTCAATCATAATTTTACTTTAAAACAGCTAATATAACAAATTATTAATATGAAGACCTTATTGGATTTGCTACAGAAATGTTGTTGATTCATTTTGTCAGAAGTGACAAACTAAAAGTTATTATTGTATGTTACATATTATATTACAATATATTGTTTATGTTTATATATTCTAAATACAAGTTCTGTTACTGTTTTGGAACACAATGGCTTTTAGACAACCTCATGACTAACATAATGATACTAACACCAAAAAACTTTCAGTATGATTTTACAGGGATTACACCCCATTCACACTGGGCGTCAGCATCAATTCACTTTGAATGGGTGACGTCAGGCGTTGCCGAACTGCATTGTGTATCCGTCTGCGCCGCTTCAGAGGCGTTGCTCATTGCAAAAGTTGACGGAACTGCAGCCAATCAGATCGTTGCATGCAAATACACCAGCTAAACAGTGGCCTATTGCTGACTGAATTTCATTGGCTGAAGCTGCTGTGACGGTTGCGTCAGCCACAACTTCAGACACGCCTTCAGTCAAGCGTTAACGCTAAAGCCCCGTGTGAATGGTGCTTTAAGATATTATTTGTCAAATGTTCAGGTCCAACACCTCACATTTTATTATTCCTTTCCACACAGGTGTTATGTCTTTAAATAAATCTTCAGAAAGCTGTAATGTATTTGCTCATTACAAAGACATTAAAAATTGTTATATTTCTTTCTGTGTAAAGAGAAGCAATTTTAAGCAGAACTGCCATTACTCTAACCAAGACTTACATCAATAGAAATTAAGAAATGCACAATTTTACCTGCTGATTAGGGATGTGTGTGTGTGTGTGTGCATATATACATATTTTTTACGGATTAATTCAATAATGAAACACAGCGGTGTTACTCTGAAATGCTCACAAATCATCCACCTACAGCGTATACAACCACCTACAGGTGTATTTATCCGGCTTATTACATGACAATTAGACACAAAACACTGGTCCGAGCTTTATTTTTTTACTCTTTAAATAAATGTAAAGATGACAGATAACTAAAACGGCTGAACGGAGCGTACACTAACCTATTCACACACAAGATGGTGCCACAACAATCAAGAAAAGCAGTGTAAAAGACAAGCATAAAAATATGCATATGACGTTACTGATAAATTACCAAAATACCCAGATGAAAGAGTTATTCGTTTTAATGGTTGTTATCTGGGAATAACAAACCTTAAAATGTTGTGATAGACCGATCAGAATCACATATTCCAAAAGGCTATGCAATAATAGCCTTTAACATTTACCTGACAATGCTAACTTACAACAATAAATAAGATTTCCTCATTAAAAAAAAATAAGATTACACATCTATACAGAGAATACTAAAAACTGCTAAATGTAGCAAGTCATAAAGTGGCACTCAATTGTTGTTAGCATAGCTTTCTAAATGGTTTGGCTTAGGGTTTGGTGGTAATACGGGCTCTTCCTGATCATAAGAGACACTGTTAGGATGTGTTTTCTCAGAGGAGACATTTCTCTCTCCCTTCATTCATTCTCTGCAGAAAAACAGATTTGGCCTCTATGGAATGTTGGAAGATCATCTGAATAAATAATCCAGCTGCTGAAATCTTAACTGTCAAAAGCACAAATTAACTGTTGAATTTGTAGTTGTGAATGTTCCCACATTTAAACTTGGTATGAGATTGCTGTTTGTTGACATTCCCATTGATAAAAAACATTATTAATTCTGCCTCAGCAAATGGTATTTTCTACCATTTTATTACACACTTGTCTGCTGTTGTCCTGACTAGTTTTAAATTTTAGTTTTAAAGCAATTCAATGCAGCAAAAAGCAAACTAATCTAGTCTAATTGAAAAATTCATATTGGCATCATTGACTCTGTAATACAGTGGAGATATATAATAGAAAATAAATAATAAACTTTTTCTTTTCAGAATAGTTTTCATCGTTACACGACGCCACCAGCAAGAGCTTCAAAGTTGACGGAAGTCATTCAGCGAGCTCAGGTGACAGCAGTGTGTTGTGTTTTGGATGGTTTAAGCATCAAAAAGAGTTAAAATCAGATCAACTTTATGGTAATGAGCGATGATGTGGCTCAGTGACAACCTATTGGAATGTACAAATCGTCCTGCTTTAGAGGGTTCCACATTAGTTACACATTAGTTCCACTTCAAGCTGCTTCCATGTTCTACTTTGCCGGCATTTGCCCATTAGCGTCTCTGCAACAAAGTGATGTCAGGCCGCACGAGTTGCTGTTTCTGTGTGAAGTCAAGAAAGAGATCTAACTCTGTGCCACCGCATAACTATAGATGTGGTAAAAAACAATGAGAATATATATAATATACTTTTACATTCGAGTCTTGATTGGGAGGTAATGTCCGATTTCCGATCACATGATTGGATCTGGACATCCCTAGTAACAATTGACAACAACCTATAAACATGGTGGATGCGTGAAATCAACAGTTAATTGGAGAGGCTTTGATTAAGGTGTTCGAATTATTGTTAATTTACATCTAACCTACTGGAAAATGTTTCTGCAGTATGTATTTCATCTGCAACAACAAACAGGTGTTTGGTCATTGAATTATGAATGAATAATTATGAACACACCTGAGATTTGTCTGCATGAAAGACTTACAAATGTCAGATTATTGTGCTATTGCAATTCTAGTATGGTAGAAAATTAAATATGGAAGGAATAGGGATAATGTGACTACATTTTTTGACATTTTTGTTACGAGGCAACAGAACTGTGCATTAATGAGGAAATAGTATGTCCCCAAGATTTCATACTCTTCTGTTACACACTTCACAGTATGTATATTTCATTCACAAAATAGAACACACTTTTAGGATGCACTGTAACTAGGCCAATTGAGATGTAGCAAATATGTTAAGCATGTGAACACAATGCCCAATCAGTGGCATTTAAGAACGTGGTATGATTAGTACTAAAATCAATACTTTGAGAACTGAAAAAAAACTTTTATTTTGATCAAAATTAAAGAACAGAAATGACTGTAGCATAAAACGATGACCGGAGAAAACTGAATCACAGCGCTCAAAAACTAGTAGAAATAGTTCTCGACCAGCTTCTCTCTCTATGGCTGAAAGGCTCATCTCTGTGGTCTCTGTGGACAACATGTTGTCAAAAGGGTTTCAGTCACTTTTGGCCATGTGCACATATACAATGGTAGTTTTTGTGAACACAGATATTTTTGGAGTTTTTCCCTCCATTGGAAAAAGAAAATCTCACACACAAACGTTTTTTTTTTTTTTCTTTTTAAATTGGTCTACATGAAAATGCAAAAATGATGCGCTGTCATAAAGTCATGTTGCAATACAGAAACCTCAAAAAAGGTTATTATCGATTCTTGTTGGCTGTCAACATGACATTCCAGCCATTGTACACTGCAGGGTTTGTTTGATAATTAAAGAAATTACCAGCAGCTGCCAGATTAACACCAATAACTGTGAAAAATCTGAGTGTCCTCTAATTTTTCCAAATATCTCATTTAACCTGCGCTTCAGAACAAATGTTTATGTTAATGCTTAGTTATTTTTCTCCTGTTATGACAACTTCAAATAGGACTAAAGCACAGTTTTAAAATTCAGTAAATTATAGTATGTTTTGTAATTTTGATCTCCCCAATAAATATAAATTTGTGTGAATTGTATATAACAAATGTTCAACTGTTACATATTTCTGTGAATGTCCTGAATATCACAGTAGATGGAGATGCTGTGCTGGCTTCACTCACCCTGTCTGCACTCTGCTCCAGTCCAGCCCTCCTTACACACCTTGATACCAGAAGCATCACAGTCGAAATGGCCAAAGAAGTCGTCTCGTGCTCGGCAGAGTTTGTTGCAGAGCGGGCCATAGTAATTGGCATCGCATCGGAACCGAAGCCTGTATTCCAGAGTGAATGTTCGGCCGTGATGCCGGAAAGACTGCCACTGCTCACCTGGGTTCAGCATTGATGACAGAAGCACGCGCTCTATCAATTCCTCCCGACCTGAGGGGGGCAGCAAACAGAGAAAGCAGATTAAAACAAAACTAAATAAACAGCATTTCTATTTTTCCTTTCCAGGACATGAAAAAAAGCTAAACTCTACTTATCAAATCTTCTTAGTATTTTGTGTTGTTTGGTTTGTGATTTGCAGGTTGCCTGGTTGGTGACTTTTGAATTAGGTTTCCCACCTGAGGCTCTTTATGTGGGATTCATAAAGACTTTGTTTTAAATATATTTTGTTAGTTATGTTTTTTGTTAACACGTGACTTTTCTTTACTATTAAGACTGTGTTTGAGCCAATCGTAACAGTCACAGTTAATTGTTTACCAGTACTATATTGATTAGAATTCAAATGATTTTAACAAATTTATTATCAGTACAGATTAAGATGCTTTTTTACTTTTTTTATTTGTTTTCAAACCAATCTTAAGGGTCCAGACAGCAAAGTTTAAATCCTGTTTGACTTATGCAAAACATGTCCCACAAGGTTTAAGAGAGCAGCAATACCCTTTAAAGGGTATTGACACACATTCGACCACTTGAAACGTGTCTCCATTATTAAAGCAATCTGGCTGAATATATGTGACTACCTTTTGAGGTGGACACAAGCCACAAGCAACAAACAACTTAAATATTGCCACTTCTGATCAAATCAATAATAATAAAAATAATATTAATAATAATAATAATAATAATAATACAGATTTTTTATGACGTCATGCACATGTTTTGACAGCTAATCTGCAGGTGATTTGATGCTTCACAAAACTTGCAGACACCTTTACTTATACCAAAATGCTTTTTTTGATTAATTTAAACAGGCAGTTATTCCTTTCGCCGATTAAGAAACTTGGCCTAATCTTTGTGGCAATATAAATTTATATTATCTATATATAACTGAAAAGTTGTAACCTTAAAATGTCTTGGTTTCCTGAGCCCTGACGGTCTCCAAAGTAATGCAAATTATCAGTTTCGCAACACAGCTGTATCTATTGTCTTCTCTGTCTCCAGAGCATCATTTGCACACTGTTTAATGCTAAAATGTATCGTTAATAGGCACTTATATACTGATGAGATCAGGCCTGAATAGGTTTGTTACCCTGCTGACAACAACACTTAATTTGCATGCTTTGTTTGACTGACCCCACCATGACTGTCCCTACCTACATGTATCAAATGTATTTAAACTAAATGTCTGTTGTACCAATTGAGAGTTTCTTTCGATGACGCCACAGCCATGTTGACTTCTTCTTGTTAAAATAATTCTGCTTTGAAGATACCGAAAGTTGTCCCTGTTTTTTTGGGCTCATCTTAGAATTTCACAACAGTTTGGTGCTGTGAGCCAGAGTACAGAAATTCCCAACAGTTTTTGGTGCCGTGACCCGGATTAGAGAAATTCACAACAGCTTCTATAATAAAGTAGAACTAAATAAATTGCAAAATACTGCGTGTTGTGTATCATATTTAACAAACCGTTTACTACAATTTTTTTGCAATTTTGCTCACATGGATAATTGAATATTAATCACTTGATGTCATTACACTGCTATGCTGTTAGCCAATCGTTGCATTGCTGGACATGATTTCGAGGATTAATAGATCTGTCCTTCACAACACATGCAGTGAGCTAAGCTCAGTTCATTCAGAGATTGGTTTACAAGACTAAAAGATCCAGGATCTGCAAAATCATATTAAATAATTTAAGTGAGGTATGTAAAACGGACCCCTGGTGTAAAAAGTGACTATGTATATATATTTTAAATGTCTTAATGTTTTTTTTTATTTTTTTTTATTAGGCCTATAAGCTAAATAAATGTATTAAGCCTATTAAGCTAAATAAATGTTTAATGTGTCATTGCTGAATACAAATATTAATTCATTACTTAAGACCAGCATTTAACTGCCATCAGTTGTAACTAACCATGGTGTAATGTTCTACTTTGAATTGTCAATTTTTTTTGTAATAAATCGATTCAAAGTCCCTTTCAAGATAAGTTGTCTGTCAGATTTTCAACACTTCCAAGCAGTTCATGCAATACCAATGCCCTATACTGTATCTCAATGAAATCTTGAAAAATGTTCTGTGAAACTCACAATTAAATTACATGTTTACATCGACAAAAAAAATCTGAAGTGATCTGTCCCATAATTGCTGTTTTTTAAGCGCTAACATGTCTCCAGCTTGCTCAAAATAATGCACATGCCAAGATTAGCACGCCAGTCTTTTAAATGGCTGTTTCCATAGTAACCAGAGGACACAGTTAAAACAGTGGAAAAACAGACACAAATTTAGAAAAAAGACTGGAGGATGACACTACACTGTAATAAGCCATTAGATTTTTTTAAATGTGAGAGTTTTGCCAACATGTCGTTTATTGCAATTTTTATTTTTTTTATTTTTTGTAAAGTCAATTAATTGCTTTAAAAGCAAGAGGGTTACTCCCTTTATTTTTTATGATTGCTTTTTACAGTGTGGAAGAACACAAAATGTGATGGGATCAAGTCATTCCTCCTGTCAAAATCAACACAGGGACATAATTGTAACTCAATGAGGTTACATTATGAACAAGTAAATCTGTACAGACCCCCTTAAAAAACAAGTGACCATGAAGTATAATGATGTGCTATTTTGACCAGAAGGTGGGACTTCCTTCACTGCGGTGGCCATACTGAGCAGTGCACATTTGCCAATGAATAGTAAAGTGAGAGAGTAGTCTTATATTTTAAATCTTTGATCAATTTTAATTATGTTAATCAATAATGCTATTGACAGAGATAAACTGGATAATACTTTATAATGGGTTTTTAAATTAATTATCTTTTGTACACTAGTTACCCCTTTGAAAAAACCCTGGTGAACAAGATGTATTATGTAATAATAAAGGGCATTACCACTTACAAATAACTACAGAAAGAAAGAGAAAGAAAGCTTGCCTGAGATGAGATCACCAGGGCTTAAAAACAAAGGAATGAAAACATGCAAGAGCGAAGGTGTTCAAACACAGATAAGTTATCCTAGCAGCCCCTCGCACTTAATGAAAATAAAAACATCAACCTAATACAGTGACCCCAAAACACAAACCCTAAAGCCAGATTTTCACACAAACACACACACACACACACGCACGCACGCACGCACGCGCACACACACACACACACACACACACACACACATACAGACAGATCTGGACACTGTTTTTTTTTTTTACTCCCGTTAATGGACTGTAGTTTATGCAGTAATTAAACGTCGTAAGTCAGTAATTTAGTGCTGTGGTCCATTTAAACATCACTCCAGTCCATTAGAGATGTAAATGACTAGAGCAGAGCTGCACTCATGCAGAAAACCTTTAGCAGTTTATCACTGACATGTTCAGGCGCATGAATTTACATGAATGTCTGATCTCTAAATCAAGGATGTGAGATAAATATCACACAGAATCCATCTCATCTGAGAGAGGAATTAAACAGTTGTTATTGATACTGTGATCTGTGATGTCAGGATAGTTAAAAGGTGAGACTAGCGTTAGTACATTTTGGATCTTTTATGAATAGATTTTTTGTACGTTTACATAACATTAAAGTACTAAATAAAAAAAAAGAATGCATCAAGAAACTAAAAAAGCATGCAGATGTGAAAACCTCAAACAGTATTATGATTGTTGGTATATATATATGTTGTATATATTTTAGACTGTTTACAGAACATACCATCATTATACAATAACTTGCCTAATTAAACTAACCTGCCTAGTTAACCTAATTAACCTATTTAAGCCTATAATGTCACTTTAAGCTGTAAAGTGTCTTGAAAATATATAGTAAAATATTATTTACTGTCATCATGGCAAAGATAAAATAAATCCGTTATTAAAAATGAGTTATTAAAACTATTGTGTTTAGAAATGTGCTGAAAAAAAACTTATCTCTATTAAACAGAAATTGGGGAAAAAATAAACAAGGTAGCTACTAATTCAGGGGGGCTAATAATTTAGACTTGTGTGTGTGTATACACACACACACACACACACACACACACACACACACACACACACACACACACACACACACACACACACACACACACACACACACTATATATATACACCTGACTGTACTTCTGAAGAAACGTTGCTGTGCTTTTTAATGAGTTCCTTTAAATAATTATTTTAACAGTCTTTTGGTCTGCTGTAAAATACACTTATTCTGATGCTGACTAATACTAAACCATGTGAAAATTACTTGATCAGACAGTAATACTTAGTGCTGTTATGTAATATTAGGTTTAAATTGACTGTATATTTAATTTACTAAATAAAATAGTTCTAAATTTGTGTGTAGTTTACCTTAAATGCCTGTAAGTACATCTGTCAGTACAATTGTTCCATATTTCAAAACAACAGAAATATAAACTAGCATAATGCACTTTATCAGTAACATACCTTTGCAGTAAGTGTCCTAAAACATTATAAAAATTATAATAATGTTAAGCTGTAGGTTAGATATACCAAATTCAACTACAACAAATGTCATGCAGAACATTTCAGAATGATGAAATATCAACTACAATTAACCAATTACTTTTTTTTTTTATCAATTAATAACATTAATAAATTACAATTGCAAGTTTTGAACAACCCTAATGATCATCCAGAAGACAATGAAACAAACTGATCAACTCTTTCTATCTAACTATCTGCCTGCCTGCCTGCCTGCCTGCCTGCCTGCCTGTCTGTCTGTCTGTCGTTTCGTCTGTCTGTCTATCTCTCTTTTGTTCCATCTCAAAAAGCCTTTTTTCAAGGACATATGGGGTCAGGACGGACTTTGTGAAGACTGTTAAAGCTATATGGCACTCGCAATACATGGCTGTATTATAATCCGAAGCTGGCAGGGAAAACGGTTGTTCAATTCCAAACTCACATCATTTAGAGTCCCGAATGAGCCCACCTAAGCCTCACCCCACCAATGACAAGCTGTAAATCCAAAGAACAAGAGAAGGGATCGCGAGAGTAAATGAAAAGACACGACAGAAGATGGAGGACAGTGAGAATGTGAGATTAACAAAGAGGGAAAATTTTAGAAAAGAATCAAGGAGACAGATCTTTGTACAAGAAAAAGCAAAGAAGAAAGGCAGCTGAGAGATGTGCCTGCATGTTTGTGCAGCAAATTAAGTTGGCTTATTTATGAATATGAAGAGCCAATATGCGAATGATTAAAATGTATCTCGCCGTTGTTTGAAGCATGCACATGTGTGTAATTTATTCATTAAAGACGCCGCCATTATGGCACATGAGGACCTAATCAGTGTGTGTGTGAGTGTCTGTGTGCAAAATGCAGCAACAAATTTTCAGTCATGGAGCTTTTCTTCAATTATAAGGAGAAACAATCAGAAAGCAACACAGGAAATGAAAGAGTCACGGAGACTGACCCTGTGCATTACTCAGTTCTCTTGTAATCCCCAGTAGACAAGCATGATGGGTAAATACAGATTGACTGTCTGTTGTTGGCCATGTCCCTCTTTTCATTCTTGCTTTCTCTGTTTTTATATTGCTACAAATCGGTTCTGTGAGGACACATATGATCCGTGGATTTTATTTTTTGAAGTCACACACTCACGCACGCACACATATATCATCATACCTGCCTCTGATGTTTCATTGTCATGGTCCAAAGCCTCGATGACCAGAGAAAATGATTTCTAGACAAAAAGAAAACAGGAAAAAGAATGCATGTGAGTGTGTTTTATGTCGACACATGTATTAATACATTGTGATGGGTTTATTATGTCAAAACACAGGCATATCCAGTAGAAAAGCAGTATAAATGATTCATAATTCAGTGCAGAGTGTCAGTATTTAATTATTGATTAAAATAATTTTAATTGCAATTTTAATAGAAACTAGCTGTGTTCTGCATGATGGTTGCCAAGACATTACTTTGCGGTTGCTAAGGTGACCGTAGCATATCAAAATGTGGCTGTCAAAACCAAAACATCACACCACCTCAGCATGTGGGATACTCTTTTGTTTATATGCAATATATTGTATAGAATTCTATTGTAACGACGGGGTGGAAGTGACAGATACAACAGGAGGTAAGATCCAATATGCAGGTTTATTCAGCGTCAGGCAAGCAGTGGTCAAATCAGGTACAAACAGGTATATGCAGGCAGTCCAGAATCGTAGTCGATATAAACAGGCAACAGGTCAAAAGGCAGGCGGCTAAACAGGAGAACAAGGAAAACAAGGCTAAGGTCTAACACAGAGAAACAATACAGGGAAACGCGTTGTAATGTCACAAAATGCAAACAAGACTCGGTAAACTGGATGGGTTCATGAGTGGCTTATGTATGGTGTGATATCAGTCTCTGACAAGGTACAGCTGGTGAGTGCAATCAAGCTAGATGTGTGAACATGGGTGACTGGGAGCAGTGCATGTTTGAAAATGTAGTCCTGGGAAATGCGGAAGTGTAGTCCTGAAGTTCGTGTGAAAACCAGCGATCTCTGGAAAGCGATCGCTGGTTGTGTGACATCTATAGGATTTTTTACCTCATGTTTTCTTGTCAAGTAATAGCCACAAGTCTCCAAAATAAGTCATATATTTATTATTCATTTTCACACAAAAATAGTTTTTAAAAAAGCAATTGTAGTTTATTTCAAATGTAAAATTATAATAATAAAAAAAATAACATTTGTATTTAGTGACATATTAATGTAACAAAAGTGTACACCTGACTGTATTTCTAAAGAAACGTTGCTGTGCATTTATAATGAGTTCCTTTGGATAATTGTTTTAACAATCTTTTGGTCTGCTGTAAAATACACTTATTCTGATGCTGCCTAATACTAAACCATGTGAAAATTACTTGATCATACAGTAATAATTAGTGCTGTTGTGTAATATTACGTTTAAATTGACTGTATATTAAATTTACCAAATAAAATAAATTTACTAAATGTGTGTGTAGTTTACCTTAAATGCCTGTAAGTACATCTGTCAGAACAATTTATCCATATTTCAAAACAACAGAATTATAAACTAGCATAATGCACTTCATAATCTATCAGTCAAAATGTACTATTTTGCCAAAAATCATAAAAACATTTAGTAAAGATTATGTTCCATGAACACATTTTGTACATAATCATGCATTTCACTTGCTGAATACAAAACTGAAGGGAGAATGCCCCAAGAACAAGCATGAACTGGAGACAGTTGCTGTAGAGGCTTGGCAGAGCGTCACCAGGGATGAAACCCAGCGTCTGGTGATGTCTATACGGTCCAGACTCCAGGCTGTAATTGAATGCAAAGGATTTGCAACCAAGTATTAAAAGTGAAAGTTTGATTTATGATTATTATTCTGTCCCATTACTTTTGGTTCTTTAACAATTGTAAGGCACATACAAGTTGTTTTAAAGCCTTCAGCGCTTACCTGATTTGAATGTAAATACCATCAAAGCAATTTAAAGCAATATAAAGCAAATTAAAGCAATATAATAATAATAGGGTAATATATTTGGTATTACCCTCAAATGTGTATAGATGAAGTCAGAATTATTAGCCCCCCCTCCCCCCAAATTATTTGCCAGTTTTTTTTCACCAATTTCTGTTTGAAAGATTTTTTCAACACATTTCTAAACATAATAGTTTTAATTAGTCATTTCTAGTAACTGATTCATTTTATCTTTGCCATGATGACAGTAAATATTTTACTAGATAAGACACTTCTATACAGCTTAAAGTGACATATTAAGGCTTAACTAGGTTAATTAGGTTAACTAAGCAGGTTAGGGTAATTAGGCAAGTTATTGTATAACGAGGGTTTTATCTGTAGACTATTGAAAAAATATGTAAAGGGGCTAATAATTTTGTCCTTAAAATGGTGACTAAAAAATTAAAAACTCCTTTTATTCTAGCCGAAATAAAACAAATAAGACTTTCTCCAGAAGAAAAAATATTATCAGACATACTGTAAAAATTCCCTTGCTCTGTTACGTGTGTATGTATATAATACATCCAAGCAAAATTTTTAAGCAGTATCCTATATTATTTTATTCCTATATGATATTACTATGCCCCATCCTATTCCAATAAACCATACATCAATGTATACATCAACCATACATCTTTATTGATGTATAAATTGTTGTTTAAAAACTGGCTTTTTGTTCCAGGGTCACATATATCATGAGTATACTATTTCTGCATTAACAATGTTTTCTAAAGTTTAGCTGTTGCACTTTTCACATGTACATCATGTAAATGTTGTAGTAAACACCACTAATATAGTACAGATGTGACACTGATCATGGTTGTTTACAATCTGCTCTTCATGTGTACCAGGCTGAAAATTGCTGTTGGATCTCATAGTTTGGGCTCCTTTTCTCCAATATATCCAGTGGGGAAACAGATGGTGCCACTGAAAACAACAAGAAAACCCCGAAAACAGAGAATGTCACCACTGATTTGCAGTAGCGCTGAGACCAAGTTTGATGGAAAACAGTACTCATCATTCCCAGACGAGTGACAGCCATGAGTACTTAAACAAATAGAGTACTTCAAACCGTACTGAACAAGCAGCCAGACCATCACAAGATGATTTAAAGAGGAAGTTGACAAATTCATGATCAAATAGCAGAAAAAGACAGATGGAGAGAAAAAAGGAGAACAATTTTCTTCTTCCTCCCTCTGTCCCTTATGAATGAATAATTCAAAGCCACATTCTCAATCTCCAGTGAGAGGTCCAAACCCTGCCATGCAAATGACACAGCTGTGGCATTCTGGGTAAGGAAACTCTAAAAGGCAGCGTGGATGTGCAGTCACGTCTGTCTCATAAGTGTCCACCACAGAGGAGGGGAGTGCTGGAGCTGAGCGCGGAGATGGAACCACTGGTGAGAGAGCTTGATAAAAGTGCCGTTAAGAGTTGGGAGTAGATGATTCAGTGATTGAATGACTGATTGACTGAGGATAGGCATGAGAGCAAGGGCTTCATAATTCGTGTTTCAGCAAAAAGCCTTATAATTGCCTAGAATGTTTTGTCATTAGAAGTGATTGTGACAATTAGCATTCCCATATCCATTAGCATTACCATTCATGATCATGAAAATATCTTTATATGAAAGTTAAATGTGAAACTTAAATTTTATTTGTCAGAAAACACTGCAATTTTTAAATAATCATCCTAACTGAACAAAGAAATATTTATTTAAAGCATATATCAGCATGAGCTAATTGCTAAAGCTAACAAAACAAATATGTGTAGGCTAGTATGCAAACTGCTGCATTTGCTGCAACTAATTAGATATTATTTTTGCCTTGGTATTGGATCTGACAGCCAGTTATTTTAACAACATTTAACTAAAATGCTACTTTAGTAGTAAATACAAGGGTTTTTGAACCTTACCATAGCAAATTATTTTATACTATATCTTTTTAATGAAGCTACAGCATACTTTGGTAACACTTAACAATAACTACACTACACACTATAAATCATTTATTAAGCATTAGCATCTAGTGAATTCATTATCTGTTAAGCGTTAACTCTACATTAATAAACGTTAGTAAGCCGTTTATAACTGCAGCTACAAATGCTGTATTCTTGACTCACTAACACATTTTTAATGTGCTCAGTAATTGTACTTTCATATTTTGTTAATTATTTATTTTTCATTACTAAATTAAGTTTTGTATCATTTACAAACCAGTTGTTTTTAATTGTAGTTGGAGGTTTTTAAAATCACTCAGAATGAGTTAGTATATTATTAATAAACTATTGAAATCAACATTTATAATTCTTTTTATTCATGGATATATTAATAATTAATTTGTGTGTTAATAAATGCTTTATTAACTCAACTCCATGCAGTTTTGTGACCTAATCTAAAGTGAGGACTATTTATGCTTTTTAAATCTCTTATAAATGACAATTAAAGGCTCAGTTATATTCTAAACAGGAAAAATGACATAAACGACATTATTCATTTCTATTCGTTTGAAGATACACAAATGAAACTGTACTTCAAATAAAAAATAATCTTTGCAACCTTATTTAAAATATAATTACTGTACAATTTAAACATTGCATCTTGTTATATTGTTAAATTGTTATATTGTTGCTCTTTTATCCAGTTTTATGTCTTATTTTGACACTCTTGTTATTCAGCAATGTTTAAACTTTACAGTAATTTTACTTTTTTAGATAACATTGCAAAGATTATTGATCATTTGATACTGAGCCTTTAATTGTCATTTATTAGTGATTTATTAAGCATAAATAGTCCACACTTTAGATTAGGACAAAAAAACTGCATGAATTTGAGTTAATAAAGCATATATTAACATACAGAGTAACCATTACTATATGTCATAATAATAATTGTAAATGTTAATTTGAATAGTTAATTAATCATTTGCTAACTCATTCTGAATGATCTTAAAAACCTCCAACTATACTCTTAAATACAAATGGTTTGTAAATGATCTAATACTTAATTTAGTAATGAAAAATAAATTATTAACAAAGTATAAAAATACAATCATTAAGCACATTATAATTGTGGTTAAAAGCCAATAATAGAGCATTTGTAGCTGCAGTTATAAACGGCTTACCAACGTTTATTAAATTAGAGTTAATGCTTAACAGATAATGAATTCACTAGATGCTAATGCTTAATAAATGATTTATAGTGTGTAGTT